ACGATTCTGAGAGTTTTTCCCCTAAGAGGAACCTACTTTAGGAAGCACAGCACACCCGGCATGTTTATACATTTCAACTGCTACCCTGTGCTGCTCTCAGGGAGTTTCCTGACAGCCTCTTTGGCCATTGCCCCCAGTGCCGACCCTTCCAGTGCATGCTGTCCTTGAGCCCGCCCCGTCTCTCCCAGGGGACCCGCAGCTGCTGTCCCCGCAGTGCTGGGGGGCCTCGGACTCCAGGGAGCCACCATGCATGACCTACATGCCCCACAGAGAGACACAACCCAACTCTCCCCCAGGAAGGGCTGGCACTGAGGGGCTGCCCAGTTTCCAGGTGTGCACCGACACTACGGACAGACGCCACCTCTCTGCACTGCTGAAACTTCAGTGTGTATCGCTGACAGATGTGACGAGGTCTATGGCTGGAATGTGAATTAGAAGATTCCCTGACACTGTTAGTTTGGAAAGACAAGTCAACCTCACAGGATGGGACCGTGCACCTCTCCTAAGGGCGCTCAGCAATGTGGGCACCAACATTCTCATCCCTCCCACCTCAGACCAGGGGACACCAACTACTAGACAGGAGGTAAAGATGCTGACACTCAGTCTCCAGTCATGACACGGAGCTAAAAGCCCACTTCAAAGGCCTTTTGAAATACCAACTCTGCTATAAGTCTCCCCTTCGTGGCGAAATAACTACATATGTGCTAATAATTCTAAGTTTTTGGTTAATTTTTCTACTTAAAATTTTCAAAATTCCACCAAATTTAAGTCTTTGATTTATTTTAATGAAAGTAAGGTCCTAAAACTGACCAAAAATGCTTTTAATTTACTTACACATTACATATTAATGGTATGAATGAGAAGTAAGCTCAATTACGGACCAGATATTAAGAACTGTCCACTCACCAAGGCCAAATCTAAACTGCATCTTGACTGTCATTTTTTTTCCCTCAATAAGGAAGTTTCTCAGCACATATTATAAAATAATAACTGCAAATAATCAGTTAAGGAGAGAAAAATTACGAGTAAAGACCAGTTTTTATTGATTTTCTGGAAATAAATTTAATAGTTCAATAAATTATGCTAAGGGCTTTTCAGTAGCCGGCCAAGACAACATTCTCAATCTATAAATAAGCATTTTTTGGTGAATTACAAGATAGTTTTAACAGCAGTTTAACATAATAGCCATATCGCTGACTACCAACTAGTCTGAAACTAAATATACAGCATTACATTTGTAACACAAATTCTGCTGAATGGTGGTGAAGAACACGACTGTTTACAAGCGTGCGGACGAAGCTCAGCGGCGGAGGCGGTGTGTGTGTTTACGCACGTGTTAGCCCAGAGCAAGAAGTGGTGTTTGGACTTATCCGTGGCCAGATGGACAAAATGTAACGTGAATGAGGTTTAAGAACAGGCCGAATGCACGAGGAGCGTGTGAGAGACCACGCACTCATCCATCCCACCACAGTGCGGAGGGGGCAGCTCACAACCCCATGTTTACAGGTTTCCATACGATTCCCACCAGCGCCGGCAGGCACTGCCTATGTGATTCAACAGTGACCCTAAATTAGGTGCCATGTTCTGAGGAACATGGCACATGGAATTAGTTCTCTATTCTCCTTTAAAAAGTTGAGTGAGGGGCTTCCCTGGTGGCGCAGTGGTTGAGAGTCCGCCTGCCGACGCAGGGGACGCGGGTTCGTGCCCCGGTCCAGGAGGATCCCATGTGCCGCAGAGCGGCTGGGCCCGTGGGCCGTGGCCGCTAAGCCTGTGCGTCCGGAGCCTGTGCTCCGCAACGGGAGAGGCCACAGCAGTAAGAGGCCCGCGTACCGCAAAAAAAAAAAAAAAAAAAAAAAAAGTTGAGTGAATGCAGCTTGGAAAAACAATGTTTATTCCTCAAAATCAGACTAAAATTTTGAAAAATTGCAAAAGTAACCTAGGTATGAAGATGTTTCAAATAGTTTTAAACAGACAACACCAAAAGTGGCTTATTTCATATACAGGATGTGCAAGAGACAATTTAATTTGGATTTGTGTAATTAGAAGACGTCAAATTTCCATGCCTGCCAAAGTATAGGAGAATAAAGACTAAACTTCCATTCCAAACTACTTATTTTTATTTTGACAACTAAAACAATTTATACTGAACACTAAACTCTAATACTAATTTTTATTCCGAAACTATGTAGTAATTATAGATTAGCCTCAGTTTAAAATGCTAATTTTAGCTAAACAAAGGGACTTCATATAAAATATTAATACTAATTTTTTTCATATAAATTCTTAGAGGAAATATTACTGCATGCCATCCGAAATGTAAGGAAACTCTTTCATCAGTCATTTCAAAACCACTGCGTGTACATCTACAGCTCTTCTAATATTAAGGAGTGGCCATCTGGACAACACAGCACAAATTATAGGAAATTGTCTTGTTGAGAAGAACTGCAAGAGACCCTCACTGTCCTGGTAAGTGTGGTGTAAACATGAAAGCAGCAGAGAGGTGCCAAGGACACCACTCCAGCCACTAAGGCCAACTACGATTCAGTGCGATTCAGGGGTACTGACCGCACAATGATGCACTAACAGACCCGCAAAGCAGTGTTTCCACCCCAGTGGCAGGGTGCTGAGCGAGAGGGGATCCCACCCCCACAGACAAGGTGGCAGCAAGTGCAGGGGGACATGTCACCCAGAGGTGAGGCACAGAGCACGATCAAAAGAAAGCAAATGGGGGCATCAGGCCTGCTGGGGAGGCAACAGGAGGAAAGGGAAGGGAAAAGAGACAGTACAGCATGTGGACCCGATCACAGAGAGTCACTAGGGCCAGGGGACAGCACGTCACGGCCACGGCACATGGACCCGATCACAGAGAGTCACTAGGGTCAGGGGACAGCGTGCCATGGCCACGGCACATGGACCCAATCACAGAGAGTCACTAGGGCAGGGGACAGTGCGCCATGGCCACGGCACATGGACCCAATCATAGAGTCACTAGGGCCAGGGGACAGCACACCATGGCCACGGCACGTGGACCCAATCATAGAGTCACTAGGGCCAGGGGACAGCGCACCATGGCCACGGCAAGTCGACCCGATCAGAGAGAGTCACTAGGACCAGGGGACAGCGCGTCATGGCCACGGCACATGGACCCAATCACAGTCACTAGGGCCAGGGGACAGCGCACCATGGCCACGGCACATGGACCCGATCACAGAGTCACTGACAGCTGGCTTCATCCGTCTTTGTCTTTCGGAGAAGGCAGACATAAGCAGATCAGTTTGGGAAGGTAACCGGCCTCGGGAAGGGTTTGAAGGAGCAGGAAGCAGGGGCAGGAGGAGGGTGAGGAGGCAAGGACCCCTGATGGGGAGGCCCCACCTGGCGGGAGCGCTCGGCCATCACGGAAGTGCCACAAAGAGAGGCCAGCCGTGTGGGAGGGCCCAGTGGTGCTGGCGAGCCTCGCATAGCGGCCTCAGCGGCTGCCAAAGCCACCAGCCCCGGCGGCCGCTTCTAGAGGCGATGCAGGGAAACGCCACCTCACGCGTTAGCACGTGGACAGACCACACATTTTACTTTTTAGTTACGTATTTTTTTACATATACTACAAAAGAACCAGCAGAGAAAGTCTACGATCTGCCAGGTACTACTGTCTAGGATGAGGACGACGTCTGAAGAAAGGCTCCTCAGTGAAAAAGAGATCAGCATGTGGACAAAACAAAGATCCCAAGGCTGTTCAGCTGACCAGGTTCAGTAGGACACAGAGCACAGAATGCTCAGACCTTCTCTGGTCAGCAAACCAAGGGCCTGGACCAGCAAGATGAGCAGAAAGCCCGGCACTGAAACCAGGAGGCTCGGTCCTCCCTCCCGCGTCTCCGTCCTCCCTCCCGTGTCTCCGTCCTCCCTCTCGCGTCTCCGTCCTGCCCCAGAGTCTCTCTCACGCCCCCACGAGTAAAATCCCTCGTGTGGGTCGCGGTCCAGAGTGGCTGGTATTAGACAACTAAGCATGATCTGAACTATCAAAAAGCACGTGGGTAAACGCTTACTGTGTAACAGACCTCTCTGCTGACACACGTTTTCCTGGATACTCAAATCTTGGCATTTCTACAAAGTGGAGTCAAATTCCAGTTCGGTCGCCTGGAGGGGAGAGGTAGCTGGTGGAGGCCCCTGTCTGGTGCGCAGGCACCTGGGAGAACTCAAACCCTCGGAGGGACTACGGCCTCCACACAGCCCCCACCTGGCGAGGCTGCAGGGAGCACGTGGCTAGGAACCCCAGGTGCTGGTCACATGGATGCCCGGCAAACTCTGACGGGAACCAAACCAAACACTCGGGCTTAAAATCATTTAACCACCCAGTTTTCTGTCCTTCCGGTAGCACTTCCAAATGCCTAGCAGGCATTACAAGGAATATCTTTCCAGAGTCTCATAGCACCATTAAAAATCCAAAATCAACAGCTTCATGACCCATCACTTACTCTTTGCCTATAATAGTAAGAAGGTGAATAACTTTGTTAGGCAAATAAAAGCAGACAGTAAATGGAACATATGGCAAGATCCTTTCTTTTCTGAATGTAGGCCAGACAAAAATTTCCTCTAAAAACATGTTATTAACACAATAAGGCTTCTGTGGAGTTCCATTCGGTATAAATTTCCTTCTTTCTGTTAGCCCACTGTCCCTCTATTAAGCAGGGATCATACTCCGTGAAAAACACAAAGTAGAAAATGCATGTGAAACCACCAGGTAAGGATTCCCAGGATACCTTCTGCCTCCTCTTTGCATCTCCGACAGCGCGACGGGCGGGGAGTGTGCCCCTGCCCCTGCGGGAGCCTGCAAAAGCCCTAGCGCCAGCCCGGAGCCTCGCCCGACTGCCCGCCCCCGGGGGTTCTCTACCAGCGAACAAGCACAACTGTACGCAGCTGTCAAAAGCATCTTAAATATTTCACATGATAATCCTCAAAACGCAGTCGCTCCAAAGTGTCATCAAGTGACTCTGAAATAAAATACTCACTCTGGCCACGTAAGTGAACCTCCGGGCATCCTGAACCGCACTGAAGAAGTCTAAGCGGTTAAAAGCTTCTCCCAAAGTGCAGTAGCCGTGTCTCTGGAAAAACAGACACAAGTGAAAATCTGTCAAATGAGTCATGAGTCAAAATGAGCTAACAGTTAACGTGAATTAGTCTGCGCAATTTCTTTTTTAATTTTGGCAAAAGATATTCGTTTTTATTATGATCTATTCCATATTTAGCTGAAAACAGAGTAAAATTAAAACAATGCTAAATTTAAGTCATTTATGTATAATCAAGACACTACGCATTGACATTTCTACACCACTTAATGACAAGGATAAATATTGATTAAATATTTGTCAATTTCCTTTGTTGGCATGCATTTGGGGGAGGACAAAATTAAGCCTAAAATCATAAAATAACTGGATTATTCTAGGCTGTGCAACTACAAATACATAAATCATGCTTGGCCACTATGAAGAAGCATCTGCTATAAACTACACGTTGGAATTCGATTCCTCTGCGGGGAGTCCTGTGTGCCTCCAGGCCTGGACGTACGCCCAGCCGCTCAGGATCAAGGCCGAGAGGCACCTGAGTGGGGTGGGGTTCTGAATACCAGCGTGTGGGTGCAAAGGGCTAGAGGTGATGGGACGTGACCGTGGGCAGTGATATGCCCTATATTCCATACTGGTTTGTACAGATCTCTACCCCAGGTTTCAGAAGACATTTTAAACTCGATCTTCTGTATTGGAATACTTAGAACATAAAGAGATCTTCAATGCAGAGTTGTGGGTATAGATAAAGTGGGGAATAATCACAGAAAACATGAGGTGACAAACACGCCTCACATTTCAAACAGAGGACAGGAGAGGGGCCAGAGGGGGAGCTGGAGGGGAAATCCTTAGTCTCTGACAGAAGACGCACCGTGAGGGCTGATTTGGTTTTACACCCAAATCCCAACAACACTCTCAATGTGTGCACAAGCCAACAAGATACACTTATTTAAAACATTCATTATGTATTTTTACTGAATATCCACTAAGTACAAAATATTTTCCTGGGAGCTGTGGAGGAAGCCAAGATTAACTGGATATCAATCACAACCTGAAATCAATCACAGCCAGTAACTATTCTCTTTCTCAGTGAACAGAATTCCAAACACTGGTGTTCCTTCCAGGCAGTCACCCATCTCACAACAGCCTCTTCTTTGGGGGGAAATAAAATCACACGTTTGAAGCACCCAAGCAGCAAACACCTGGAGGGCCCCAGGTGAGAAGACCAAAGGCGTGATGTGATGCGGAGAGAGATGGGACCAGCTCCGAGTCCTGGCCCTTTCCTGTGCCTGCCTGTGCCGGTTCCCAGGACCCATGCAACACTCCGCAGACTCACCGCAAGTTCCCCCTCTGCCGCGTGTGCAGCCGAAGCTGGACCTCTGTTCTGTAATCAGTGTGGTGACACCCAGCAAATGAAATGTCTAACAGTCTTTCTTTCTTTTTTTTTAAAATAAATTTATTTATTTATTTATTTTTGGCTGCATTGGGTCTTCATTGCTGCGTGCGGGCTCTCTCTAGTTGCAGCGAGCAGGGGCTACTCTTTGTTGCAGTGCAAGGGCTTCTCATTGCGGTGGCTTCTCTTGATGCAGAGCACAGGCTCTAGGAGCACAGGCTTCAGTAGTTGTGGCACGCAGGCTCAGCAGTTGTGGCTCACGGTCTAGAGTACAGGCTCAGTAGTTGTAGTGCACGGGCTTAGTTGCTCCGTGGCATGTGGGATTTTCCCGGACCAGGGCTAGAACCTGTGTCCCCTGCATTGGCAGGTGGATTCTTAACCACTGCACCACCAGGGAAGTCCAAATGTCTAACAGTCTTTCATAAGCTCAAACTAGGTCAGATTTGCCAAACACCTTCCAATGGTGTACTGGAGTGTATGTTACGGGTTAGAGTGGTTTCATACCCATTAACAATGTTAACCATCGCCAAATAGGTCAGATAGATTTTCTATCTCAGAATCTAATCCTTAAGCTTCTAGGAAGCTGGGCTGGTTTCAGAACACCCACTATTAACACTTCTGGAACCCTTAACTTACGCTAACATAATACATGCTAAACAACCGCTCCCTGAATATTTTCCCCCATTGTTGCAAAATAAGGCCAATGCAGAGTTTCTTAGACAACAGATGGAAGCAAGCTTCTCCAGATACCAAGAGAAAAAGGAAACATGCAGAGCTGAGGCGAACAGACCTTTTGCAAAAGAAAGGCGGGCAGGGCTCAACTGCTCTTCGCAGATTCCAGCTTAACCACCATCACCTTAGCTACCACTCTACAAAATAAATGAGGGGTTTACAAACTGTTCTCACCAACCCAAAACACAGGAGAGCCAAGACACAGCCCTACTAGTACCAGAGGCTCACTATGAACAGCTTTGGGGGAGGGCAGGGGAGGAAATATCAAAGTACCTGGGGGTCCATACTTCTTCTGAAACAGCCCTCCACTGATTCAGATTCGTACGGGGCACTGACATACACCACACACACGAAACACTGTCTCAAGACCCTCTTATGCTTTCACCTCTTAGAATGTGGACACAGGTGTGATATTGCAAAAGAAACAATTTAATGTAACATCACATATTCAACAGTAACAATACAAAACATACTCTTATTTATAATAGAATACTTACTTCTCTTGTGCTTTCTTTATGGACATAGATCCATTTTTCACGATAAAAACCTAGAATAAAAATTAACTTTGTTTTTAAAAGCTGGTGAATCATTACAAAATGAAGATTTTAAGGAACTTCAACAGTGGCACATGCTAACAAAATTACCTGACATCATATAGATAAGAGATGCTTTGACTTGGCTAAATGCAACCAGAATTGCTTCGTTTCCTAATATCAGTTTAAGAGGTACTGAAACATCTTTACATGAAAGATGATTTATGACAGTACCACGTCTAGGTAACTTGGAAGAAAATAGTGTCACCAAGTGACTGCAGTCATATCCAAACACAAATGGTTATAAAAGTACATTTGGTATACACCCTAATAAAAGTTCTCTTCCTCTTTTATGGCCCCGTATGGTGTTCCATTTAAATACACTTTCCAAGTAACTCACATCCCAGAGCTTTGAGGATCACGAGTACATTGTCCACGGCGGCCTCCAGAGGGCGCACGACTGAATTCACTAACAGGGTCTCAGGGACTCAAGTCTGGGCATCTGCACAGGGGCCCTTTCAGAGCCTCCCCATCCCCGTCCCGCCTGCATGGCTCCAGTTTTGACCATGTCTACCTTCTGCTCCGAACCAGCAGCGTCTCCTGCACCAAAGCCCAATGTCAAGGTCCCTAAGGTTCGGCCTCACTGCTTGGGAGTGAATGGAACTGAATTCAGGACTGCTATTCAACATTCAGACACAGAGGCTGTTTTGTAGGTTTTCCTGTCTTTGGTTTCATTGTAGCAAATCTTACTAATGACTTACTCAACTAAATGGCTGAGCTGCAAATATGTGACCACTAAGTCAGTGGGCAACTGTGGATACAGTGCTGCTACGTATATAACTGTATCAGCATTTACGTCATAAGACAGCACTGTCAATGCAATTCAATTTATCAACATATTCAACAAGTAAATATGAAATTATTAATGAAAATGTTCTTACACTGAGTATTTTTGTCATTTCTAAAATGGTCCTTTTTCCTTTTTTTGGATGCATATTCATGCTCTTCATTATTGAATATTTCTTCATCTTCACTATTTAAGATACTGAAATAAAGATACATTTTATTAAAATATTTTTACAGGGGTTTCTTCATCTGGATTTTCTTTTGTTAAAAAGAAAAAAGAAATATTTCGTTTGCAATTCAGGAGCCCAGAATAAAAATCATGTTAAATTCTGAAAGCAATCCTTAATTTTCAAAGCAACAAATCACAGGTTTGAAATTACAAGGCTAATGTCTACGTTTTTTTGTTTGTTTGTTTGTTTGTATTTTGCGGTACGCGGGCTTCTCACTGTTGTGGCCTCTCCCGTTGCGGAGCACAGGATCCGGACGCGCAGGCTCAGCGGCCATGGCTCACGGGCCCAGCCGCTCTGCGGCATGTGGGATCTTCCCAGACCGGGGCACGAACCCGTGTCCCCTGCATCGGCAGGCGGACTCTCAACCACTGCGCCACCAGGGAAGCCCCATGTCTACGTTTTTTGCTTGTTTTGAGAAACCTGAGATTTATCCTGGTTCTTATCAGAATCCTGTATCAGGAAGTGATGCACAAGTTTTAGAATCGCATAGGATTTTGAAATGCTCAACCAAGGTAGTTTCAGACTTTAAAACTTATAGTTTTATAGTTTATACTCTGGAAAAAAGTTAATGTGACAATATGATACCTAATACTAATGATCTGCTATATCCCTGACCCAGTGCTGAGTAAACTCAACACTTCTCTTTGTCCCCATACTTCCAAAGACTTAACTGGAACTACTACTGTATTTCCTTACTAAAGCATCAACCAACTAATGCTACCTGTTAAGGCGCTTAACTGAAGCCAGATGAAGTAAAACATTTCTTTTTTCCACTTAAAAACATCTAATTCAAAGCTTTCCCATTTTTTTCTTTTGGATAAAATAAAATCATAAGGTGATAACTCAACAACTTGAACACATTTTTTTAAAAAAATTTCTTCCTTGTAGTAAAAAATAAATAAGACTATGCAAAAAGCAGTCCACCCCCTCAAAACTGAAGATGCACACAATTTTTATTTTCAGCACACTCACAGCTGGATTGTTTTCAGTCTGACAGCAAGCAGGGGCTCTGTGGAGACGAGCTGGCTAGCGGAGGGCCAGGGACTGATACTCAAAGCCGAGGGAGTAACCCTGCTGGCTGCCTCGTCGCCACTCTTTGACAAGAAAATTGTACACAAGCTCCTTCCACTAACCTGTATTCACTTTTAATCAAAACAGCTGATTTTCCCAAATGAATCCATTTATCACCATCAGAATAGACTTAAAGAACACTGGCAATAGTCGTAAATCATTAAGACAAGCAAAAGTGCATTTAGAAAAAACAAACAACTTAACATTCAGTGGCAGGCGTTAAATAATACCAATTCATAGAAATGGGTTGATCCTGGCTGTATCTCACATTGGTTTGTTGTCATTGATTCAAACACTGAAGGTAGAAGATTTCAAATATAAACAGCTTTTCCAACTACAATCACAAAGGCATCAAGGGAAAGCAGAAGTACACTGCTCTCCAGAAACAGCATCACAGAAAGGAAACCAGGCACCAGGAGAGGAGGGAGCTGCCCGGTATCTCCTGGGAGAGGGAGCCGTGTCCAGCTAGGCCCAGGCAAGCGAGGGGCACTGGGCAAGCGCCCACGTGTGCTCTGCCCTGACTCTGCCCTGGGAGGGCTGGGCCGTCTGAAGGGAGGCAACAGGCCCAGGGACAGACGTACAGGAAGGAAGCACAGACATCTATACATTTCAACCGTGTTGACTTACGAAGGCGACACTCTCAGCCCTCCACGCCCACCGCTTGGCACTCCACCAGCACCCCGTCACCCTCTCTCTCAGGAATGTTTTTCTGATAAACCCACCAAAGGTGCATGGCTTCCCCACACCCCACGTCCATTTCCAACCAAGACAAGGATACGTATGGAGAAGAACCATCAAAAACATCTCCTGACATACAGGTAAACAGCAAGGACCTACTGTATAGCATAGGGAACTGTATTCACTATCTTGTAATAACACATAGTGGAAAATAGTTAGAAAAAGGATACGTACGGATATATGTGTAACTGAATCAGTCTGCTGTACACCTGAAGCTAACACAATATTGTAAATCAACTATACTTCAATTAAAAAAAAAATCTCCTGACAGAAATAACCAAGGGCCAAGAAAAGAAGTTACTCTCTTCTCCTAACTCACGCCTTGAAGTCAGCCTGCGGCTTTTAACACTGTCCAAGGGTGACCTCACCTTTTCCCACCTGAGGATCCTCACCCTAGGGATGACCCATTAGACAACTGGTGACATTTTTCTCAAGAGTCACATAACATGGTCTTAAGCTTCATCCCCAGACCTTTCTCGGGTCAGCACAATACTCTGTGATGGGCTATCACCTTCCAATCATTTCCACCCAATTCTAGGAAATAAGACAAGGGAGGGTAAACCTCCGGGTTTGAAAATGGTTAATCGGCAGTTCGTAACTGTAATGTTGTAAGACAAGTCACAGAAGTTTTGTAATTAGTAAGAAAAATTACCAACATTTGTGAATGATTTACATTCTAATACTTATAAAGGTAATTTGTGCTAATAAAAAAAAAACAAAACCAAGTATAAAATGAAAAGTCTCCCTTGCCAATCTCACGCCTGAGAACTGGGTAAATTTTCATTATTTCTATCTTCACTTGTTCTGGTTGCTAATTTTATAATTCAAACCAAACCAAAACAAAAAACCCAGGCACATAGCTCTGTTTTGAGCTGCCTGTAAGAGACAAGGAATTAACCTCATTACTACTCTCCCCTCCATTCTGGGTGGCAATTCATCATTCAACGATCATCAACTCATGACCCATCTAAACTCATCTCTCTCTCCACCCATTTTTTGGCCGGGGACTCACTTCAATTATTTTGACATAAATCCCAGACCGGCTATCATTTCAGGTGTAAATGTCTCAGGATGATACTTAGTCCTGCTGTGATCTGTGTAATTAGTGTTTCTTCATGGATGAGTTCTCCGGGGCGTTCCCATCAGCATCCAATGTCTCTTAAAGGTGCCCAGAGGGCAGGGACTCCTGCTGGACTAACCCCCAGCTGGGGGATGGGCAGGCACTGCTGCCTGGGTGCCCCTGCCTGGCCCTCAGGGAGAGATGGGGAATAGGTGGGCTGTGCTGTTGGCCCGTGTGTATCCCAGGTCTGGAACTGCGGGCACCCCGGCCACCTATGGTGCTGCCCTGACCACATTAGTGCTCGGTGCTGGCGTCAGATAACTCCACGGCCTGTGGGAGGGAGGGATGCCCAGCACGTGTTCTGTCGGTCGCTCCTACTGCATTTCTCAAGTAAATACCCCGTGGCTGTCCCTGGGAGGAGCCCCCTGCTGCAGCCACCTCCTTGGCAATACCATCCCACACTATCCCCACCCCACACTCTCCCACCGGGAAGCCCTCCGGCTACAGACCATGCAAGCGTGTCTCACAGACTCCTTACTCTTTCGGGTGCACCAAGACACTGAGAGTTGCGCCCCCCATTTTCTCTCAAGTACAATGTATATTTACAGTATTTAAGATAATATATACCTTTTTTTAATCATTTCTAGGATTTTGCATAGGAGGGGAAACTGCAGCAGCCACCCCCACCCAATTGCTTTGAAATCAGAATCTTAAAAACTGTACTAAACCAGAAATATTTATTACTGCCTTGGGTTAAATAGTGGCCCCTCAAATATGTCTAAGTCCTAACCCCTGGAACTTGTGAATATGAAAGTCTTTGCAGATATAATTACACGAAGGATCTCAAGACAAAATCATCCTGGATTAACCAGATGGGCCCTAAACCTTATATGGGGAGAGGCCACACAGGAGAGACACGGGGGGATGGCGGGTGACAGCAGCCAAGGGACAACAGCCGAGTGACAGCAGAGGCAGAGACTGGAGCTGAAGGACAGCGAGCATTGCTGGCAACCCCAGAAGCTAGAAATTCTCCCAAAGAGCCTCCAGAAGGGACCACCCCTGCTGACACCTGCATTTCGGACTTCTGGCCTCCACACTGCAAGGACAAAATTTCTGTTGTCTTATACCACTGGGTTTTCAGTATGGCAACCCTAGAAAACTAATACAATTCTCTATCTTCTTAAATTACTTCAGTTGGTATCGCTCTTGAAAGCACATATGGGCTATCAATTCTACCATACAAATAGAGGAGACTCTGGGAAGAAAAACTCAGCGAAATGAAATATTTAACATGCCAAAGTAAACATTACAAACAAAATGTGATCATTTTACCAAAAAACAAAACAGAGGAACCCCTCAGACACAGTCACCAGTAACTGACTGCCAAGCTGACTTCCACGGGCGTTTCTCTCAGTGAAAGAAACTTCTCTCCCAGCAGGGCCACAGTCTCTGCTCTAACAGTCCCAGGTTACTGTTTTCAGTTGTATGTCGGTCACCTATTAAACTTAGCTTTTTATCCTCACATTACCCACAAAGGGTCAGGGTTATATTACTTTCTCCTGCTGGCCAAATGTTCACGTTTGTTTTCCTGATATAAAGTCACTTTTGCATCAGTGTATTATTAGCCTCTCTCGCAAAAAAGATATTAAAAAAAAGGTCCAATTTTTTTAAGTTAAAAAAAAATGCAAAACCTGTCTGGTTTTAGCATTAGCACTTCTGTCCTAACATCTCATGTGACATGCTTAAGGAATCTGATGCAGACATGATGCATGAAGGGAGCAGCAGGCAGATGGCAGGATGGGATACTGAAGACCAAGGTGGACAGCGGCCCCGGCAGCCCCACGGCTCTGCCAGCGGGAGAAGCAGTGGACACCCCCATGCAACTTGACGAGGGGAACACCGTCTTCCAGAGGTTCCAGAGGGAGCTCTCTTGGAGAAGGGCCACGTAAGAAGTCCAACCAAGCAGCTGCAGACTCCATGAGAGAGAGCCGGGAAGGCACGAGGGCGTAGCGGCCACCCTCTGCATTCCACCGACGCCCCGCAGGCGTGCTCTGACGGCTTGCCTCCAACCTGCTGCCTTGCCTGAATGACACACCCACC